CGAATTATGGAGGTAGCTCATCGGTGCCGCTGGTAGTTTTACCAAAGGCTGCCGCAAACGCAAGGACCTCTCTCAACATCAGCAGCCTCAACCTTCACGTCCAAGCACCTTGGCGAGTCCTCCTTGGGTGCAGTGGTCACTGTCTCAGTGTCTTCCGCTTTGGATTCAATGTGAGCTTTCAGCTCAGACTCCTTCAGCTCACCAATCGCCTTCTCTGCTTCTTCAACAACCTGTTCCACATCTTCTTTCACCTGGGCTGCAGTCTCAGCAGCTTGGAAAGCTTCAGTCTCGACCACAGGGGCTGGCTCAGTCTTCACATCTTCCTGTGGCTCCACTGGGGCTGCAGTCTCTGTGCTTTCGACCTTTGTTTCGGCCTTCACCTCTGGTGCTGCCCACACAGGAGCCTCAGCTTTAGAAGTCTTTGAGCCTGCGCAATCCATGGTGTCTGCAGAAGCGCAAGTGAGATCAAGTGAGGCTGAAATCACGGAACCACCTGATGCTTTTGATCCAAAATGCCATTGATTTAAAGTCTCTCAGCAACAGAGACGTTGTTTCATGAGTGATGGCTCTGCCTTGTTTCTCGAAGATAAAATTGATAGAGCAAGCGCAAGCAAGAACGTTGTATACATCTGCGCTGTAGCCACAGTTTTCTTTCGAGGCTTTCACTGCGATGAAAGACGAGAAGACTCTGGTTGTCAGGTCCAAACTCTGTGTGTGCATGGCAGCTTGAGACCCAAACTCACCCAAACTGATCTCTGCAAATCCTTGACAGCGAAAATTAACAGGTCTTGACATGTTCAACAACCTCCTACCTCTGCTTGTTTTTGGCCACATTTGGTGTCCAACTGGAATCTAAAAGGGATTGTTTTGGACCACGTGCATGAAATGGATCCATGTAAATCCATGTAAGATTGCAGGGTCTCTTCTTCGCCACTGTACCAGCGAAGAATGAGCTCCAATTCGAGCGCTCCAATTCGTTGCGCCACAAAATTCAGCGGAAATCCGCAGAGCTTCTGCAAGCTGCGACCATGGGATGCTGCTACCTCAGCCGTGCTGAAGACCTAATGGACTAGTGAAGAAGCTCGTACAGGGCAGGATGGGTTAGGGATCCCCTCTTTTTACAAACATTCTGATATTCCGATTTCAGTTCCAATTAGAGCATTGCAGTGTGTTAGGCTCTTACTCAATTGCCTGCTTTTATCTGCTTATGATTTTTGCTGGCAGCAAAATATCAAGAAAGGCCCAGGAATTTCAAAAATTATGGCATCGAAGTCTGGATTTGTCGGTGTTGGCCTACGATGCAACTTGCATACAGTTCTGACTGATGCTCTAAAGGCACGGACATGAACAACCTAATTGCAAAGGTACCTCCCCCCTTTCATCCAAATGTGTCCAAATGTGTCAGTGTCATCTTGAATCAGCAACGGACGGAGAAAAGGACGGATGCGGGACTCAAGTTATAAAATCTTACCATGTACTGAATCATGTGCCTATATAACATACGCCTGTCATGGCACATTCTCAGCATTCATTCAGCGAACCCCTAAACCCTAACGGCCCTAACGCCCATTGGGTCTGGGCCACTGGATCATAGCATCGGAGCACCTAGTAGGCAGCACCTGCCAAGGCTTGTTCACCTCAGATACCCCAATGGCTGGCTGTCGCATGGTCTCAGCACCGTTTTTCCGCATGCGTCACGGACCGTGGATCTGTCGCTTTTCGCATGGCGTCGTGAAGAGTTTGTGGGGTTCGTGGATGCAAAAGGACCGGAATCCCGGAGGAAAGTGGGTCGACATGGAGGAGTTCACCACCTGTTTGGTATTCGGATTTCAATGGATTTCATGGTCTTCACGCCGTGCCATTCCACTTCCATGTGATGTGTAGACCTCAGAGTATGATCCCCTAGTGGAATTACCCGGTGTACCTTGGGACGTTTCTTTTTTTTAGTGACAAAACGAAAAACCAGGTTCCGAGGACAGGTTGCCCCACTATAGAATCACATATCAACCTCCTGCAGTGCTGGAAACAAGTTCTCTATACCCTAAGGGTCCAGGACCATCCGAATCGGATGTCCTTTGGCCCCAGTTCGACCATTCTCAGGAAGCACTTTCTCACCTCCAAGACCATCCGATTCGGATGGTCCTGGACCCTTAGGAATCAAATCCGAGGGTCATTTTGAGCTCAAGCTCTCAGATTCTATAGAGCTGGTTGGTGTTTTCAACCCACGAAAGAAAAATCTGAGTCAGAGGGTCCTTCTTCATCCCCAAGTAAGGGTTGAACATAAACATCTCCGAAACCATCACCTAGAGAGTTTTTTCGGCAGGCAGGGGATGTAAGGCGCGCGGGTGATCCCCCCGTAGCGCCCAACCACGCACTGGGAAGACGAAAAAAGTCGATGCTCCGAACCGTCCAAATTGGGACGTTTCTTTGTGAGGTCTGTTCCACGCGACACCCAATGGTATGCCTCTTTGTAGTGCAGCATCGCATGGTTGTGTTTAGTTTATAACGCATGTTTGTTTTTGATTTTTTGGGACAGGCCAGCTGTGTGAAAGCTCCTTTGGCACGTCCGACTCGCCCAGCTCTCCCGCTCTCCAAGCCACTGCGCGTCCATCCGCGCCCCGCCGCGTGAAACCCCGCGCGCCGCAGCGACGCCGTTGGCGGCGGCGCCGACGGCGCCGCGGCGGTGGAGGGCGTCGGCGGCGGTGCCGAGGGCGCAAAGGCAGTGAAGGCAGTGGACGGCGAGGTGGACGGCGAGGTGGACGGTGGAAGGGGCACCAACCTGGAAGGTCACTCCGCGGATGTCATATGATGTAGTTCAGGGGCTGCGATCGGATCGAATGTGTGTTGGATGCGTTCTTGGTGTCTGTGCAATTTTTGAAGGTGGTTGAGTTGATGGTGTGGCATGGCCAGCATTGGTTTCAGAAGGTGGACTATAAAGTATAGCTGTTTGGCATGTGTGTGGATGCTGGGTTCAGTGGTGGTTGGTTCACCCTGAGAAGAGCCAGTAGGCGAGAGTCGAGAAGAGGAAGGCGAGAATCAAGAAGTCATACGATAGATTCTCATCCCACAACCAATGGATTTTTCTGGTTTGGTGGTTTCAACTCAGCTGGAAAACATACAAGTCAGTGGGGAGCAATCATCCCTAAAAAGGTTGAAGACGGTTGAAGATAAAAATGTCTGAAACATTCTGAAACCATCACTGCAGTGTAACTATTCCAACCCCATGGACTATGGATGAATGGACACCTGCCAGTGAGAGGTTGTATGGTGACCTATCGTGACCTATCGTAGGCGACCATGACACCGTGGCCTGCCTATTTTTGTTCCGCCCTTCCAGTGTGTCTGGCTCCTCCCGGGGAAAACCAGGCGTTCTTTTGGAGGTCTTCCGGCTCCAAGCTCGCAGCAGTTGTTCTTCCAAGTGCCGAGTTCCGTTCAAAACAACATCTCCCACCCCTCAAGTGCCGGAGCCAGGGGGTCCGTTCGCCCAGGCCTGCTGAGTCACGACGCCTTCCCTGCTACCACGATGTATATAAGTTATAAGGAAGACGTCGCGACGTCACAATCCTAATTCCCTTAACATCCCTCAACTATCTCTGTAGACTCTATACTGCTCTTATATAATCTAATATAATTGTATTTTTTCCGACCCCCCCCTGGAGTGAAATCCACTTCAATCACCTCAAAAGCGCCCGTCACATGGAACCAAGACTAGTATACTGCAACTACAGCACAACTACTATACTCATCACACCACACCATCACAACTCCATTTCGAAACACCCTCTCAGATCCCGTCCCAGCGCCCCTGTTCGCCCCTTTCGCCCTGTTCGGCGCTTCGGCCCCGTCTCTCCGTCTCCCAGCGACATGGAGTGGCCCACGCGTGCAGAGCCAGGGACCTGGACCACGGACGCGGACGAGAGCGGTCGGTGGAGAGGACGACGCTTCGGGCGGTTCTTTCAAATGGATGGTCAATGGATTTCAATGGATATCCAATGGATTTCGTAGACTGGTCATGATGTTCAATATACACAGTAAACTACACAGTAATTATAGTTATTATAGCATAGGACATCATAGGACTCTAGGACCTCTCTACTGTTTTGGAGATTTGCTTCGTTCCCCCTACTTTGGGCAAGAGTGCAACGACCAGTCACATGCAGTGACCAGTTGCTACTATATATAAGTCTAACTGAGCATTCTGTCAGTGTCTTTTCCTGCACGAGTTCTTTCTAGTAGGATCCTGACACACGACAGGCATCAAAACAAATCTGAGAAACATGACGGCAGCTACAACAACTTCGCATGAGATCATGAGAGATCCCGAGATCCTACTTTACAATGCGCATAGTCTTGGAAAAATTGAAGTCTCTGGTTTTCTTGGATGAACTTAACCACCCTCATCCACTTGGCCACACATTGCTAGAAATGGGTGCACATTTCAATAAGGAAGACCTTCCAGTTTGACGAAGGTTCGGAATATAGACCAGTCTACCCAGTGTCTCCAGGTGTCTCCCTATTCAAATCCACACCCAACCATGTCTGGCCAGGATGGCGGACGCTTCTTTCGCGGGTTGGACGCCTGCACGGCCAGGAAGTCGCCCTCTCGGTCGGGGTTGGGCACCTCGCTTCGGCTCCGCGCCGTTCGACGCACCGCGCGGCTGGAGCCCGGGCGGTCCTGGCCGCGGCCCCTTCCACGCACAGTTAGAGCTCACCCTGCACTGACTTCGCGCAGTTCAGTTCCAGTCGCTCATCATTAATATTCATGAAATATATTCGATGAATATTCGATGAATATAAGGATATAGATTTACTTCAAGGTATACGGCGTAGCCGGTCGCCTGCTCACCTAGATCAAGTTCTGATGCACATCTGTGTGCGCCGTGGCACCACCATTTGGGTCGCCACGGTGAGGGATGGTTGACAAGCGGGGGTTGAAGGGTGAATGGGGCGGCATAATCGTCCAGTCTCAGTCTCAGATCATCCGTAGGTGTTTCGAACTCTTAGTCTTTCCAAGTCACATAGATGCAGCTGCCAGGGCCACCTTCAGGCACCACCACTGCCAAGCACCGCGGCGATGCAGCGCCACCCAGCCGTTCCTCCGCCACCCACGTGGGCGGTGTTCGGATCGGGCGTAGCTTGCCACTCTGGAGGTTCTTCTGACGCATGCTGCGGAAGTCCACCTGTGCAGAAGGGAGTTTGGTGGAAAATTGTCTATACAGAACGTTGTACTTTGTTATAAGTTATAAGCCCCACATTCCGGAGTTTAGCTGGTCCAGGCCTGATATTTTCGGCCCCTCATGCTGTGGCTGACCTCATCCAAGCCAGCGAGATAAGCTCGCTTTAAGAGCTGATCCTGGCGCGTTTCAAACCCGCAGAAAAAAGCCCATGTGCGCGTGCGCTGGGAACCGAACACCGGTCCCACGTTCCACGTCTGAAAGAACAGGACGGTTCTTTAGAGAGGTGAGATGAACATCCGGTGTAACATCCACACCGTTCGTGCGTAAACTCGCATCTATACAAATCCGGCCGTTTCTTTTTCGGGGGCGTTTTCGGGTTCGGTTCAGGCTTCGTTCCTTGTGGCTCTCGGTTACGGCCGACCGGTGACCGATGCTGACCGATGTCGGGGTCTGGTACGGGCCGCGGCAGGGGCGGTGCTCGGTGCTCGGGGTTGGCAGCACGAGGACTTCCCTGCCCCTGCCCAATCGATGCAAGGAAGGGATGGTTGTTTTTGTGATGTTTTCTGTTTTGGTGTTTTTTTACCATCGGAGCCGTGGTCGATGCCGGAGCCGTGGTCGATGCCTGTCGGTTGGCTGGTACCTGGATTCTGGATGTGAATTGGTCGACCAGTGCCGGGCTTCGTCTGGCTTCTGCGGGTCATCTTGTATCTTTTTTGATAAATGGTTTGTTATACTGTTACTGGGCGGGGGGGCGACTCCAAGTTGTAACATGTTGCTTGATACTTCGCGTTTATTTTTTGTGCAGCTCTTCCATGGTTGTGCAGAATGGGTAAATTTGGGTGGATTCACAAGAGGATCGAGTTGGCCGGTGAAGGGTTGGCCGGTGCGCCATAGTTCCCAAGTGGCGTGGGCTATAGTACCATGACCGCGACCTCATCATCAGATATTCTAATAGAACATTTGCATACATGACCTCCTGTAGAACCTCTTGCGACTCCGCGTCCTCTGGCTCGTCGTAGTCTTCCCAGCGGTCGGCCAAGCGGACCTGCAAAAGGGACCATGAGGCTGCATGAGGCTGCTGTGAATTCAGCGGAATTCTCAAGCATTCAATTTTTGAAGACATGGCAAAGCTGACACATCGGAGGTGCATCCAACATTAAATCCAGACTGGAGGTTTGTGAACTTAATGGCAGACTATGGTAGACTTTAAAATATCTACTATCACAAACAAGGTACGGCGACGGATACAAAGCAAAATAGAAACATGCATGTATACAAACAAATCCAAGAGCAGGATCATATCATTGTGCAGAACCCCCACTTAGCTACTTGAAGAAGTAAGTAGTGTATAACAACTTTGGAACCTGGATCCGGAGTACAATCTCCGCGGCCTTCCACCAAGACCTTTCAACGAAAGGTTGACCTGGTTTTCTAGTCTAAAGGTTTTAGGAAATCAATCATTGTCGTTCGGTAAAGGCTGTTAAATCAACCGCAGTTGGAAGCCCAAAGGGAATTCATACCAAGTATATACATCCAAGTACCATTGACTGCCCTCCTTTTTCATCCTTCTTCCTCCGCCCCCTTGCGCTCCTATGCCCACTCACCACACACGGGATCGGCTGCTTCAGACGACTGCCCTCCCGCCTGAAATCGATCGCCCATGCTCGGACCCGCCATACTCGAACAGCTTGAGCTTCAGAACGGCCACGGAACACACTCTCCACACCGTTCTCGGCATGGAAGATGGTCCACATGGACACCGTGGACAGCTCGGAATGCAGCTAAAAATTGACGTATAGGGCTCGGCTCTGTGTTCTTCACACCCTCGAGGAACATGACCATGTAGATCCATGTAGCGTGACGAAGAGTGTTGGACTGATATCTGATATACCGTTGATATACCCAAATTAGATACTTGTGGGATCTCGCATTCTCTGCAAACTCTTTCTAATGATTGTCTGAGTGGCGCAACTCCGCTTTCCAGTCCTAGCCTTGAGATTGTCCCTCAAGAAAATTGGACATTAGCTTTAAATCAATTTTGTCACTATACTGGCATGCTACAAGAACTTGAGACCGGGCCATACCACAAACGTCTACCTCATTCTTGCCTATTTATGTTCATTTCGGAATATTTCGGAAGAGAAAAACGCCTTCTTTCATCTGATCACGCCAGGATTTCTTCAGCCCTGGAAAGGCTACCAGTGCCCCTGCCTGTTGCAAGATCTCCTTGCTACCGACGTTGGAGGTCATGACCTCTGGCCGTTGGAGGGCTTGTTCATTCAACCAGAATCATCTTGCACAAAAAAGCCCTTCGGCCCATCAACCCATGAGCACGAAAGAGAACAAACTTATATTGGATCTGATTGGCCCTTGGCGATGTTGTGGATACCCCGCCGAAAACTAACATGGACATGGACCCTAAAAACATCTAAAAACCACTGGTTTGTCGAAGAAACCACGGTCTTTGAGAGTGCCATTCGACCCGGGTCCATGTTAGTCACTCGGGAGTGTCATCTAAATGACCATTTGATGGTGGAATGAGTGGGACCAGTTCCAACAAGAAGGCTGTGCCGACCCTTGTCAACAAGGCTGTGCTGTTGAAACAGCACCCTTCCAATCGGGATGCTCTCTTTAGACTCAGGAAAACTGGAAGATGCCCTCAACAATTGGAAGAACATCACACATCCTATAGGGCCCCAAAAGGGCCTCTGCCGTTTCATCCGAGTTCTGGTGCTTTTTGTTCTGCAAAGTCGGTGTATACTCCTGGTGGAATCCTCGTGGATCAAAAGCTCTTGTTGAGTAATGCAATTAGCTGACTCTCCTCTCTCATCTGTAGATGCAGGGAGCTCAGATGTGTGGCTTCCGAATCTTGATTCAATATATGTCGCTAGAAAGTAGCAACCCTACAAGAAGGGAGGATGTGCTCACCAGAACCGAACACGTGTCTAATGCTGTGTGTTGATTCAGTCTTGCACGGCGATCCGTTCACGACTCAATCGTCAGAGTGCCCCTGCAATGATGGAATGGTTGAAGCTCACTGTTCTCCCCTGCGGCCGCACCGGTAGGGATTACTCCCCTGCTTTTTCGGCCCACGAACCCCCAAACTACTGGGTTGGTATTCGGAAAATCGTCTTCCACAGGTCAGTTCTCAGGTTCTATGTGAGTTTGTGGAGGAGTACATTCCGAGAGGTGACCTCGGCATCGGTCTTCTGCTACAACAAGAATGAATCCCAGACTCATGGACTCTGACTCAGGAAGATAGACAGATGGAAAATGGTCCGGAAAATAGGAAGTTGAAGTCGACTCTACTCCACTCCACTTTCATGTGATGTGTTCTTCTGAGGGTAGAGTTCGTCGCCTATGGACAGCAGCACTTTCTGAGACTGGGAGCAGGGTCTATGCGGGCGACCCAAACTTGATGTCTTCAAGACATGGCAACCAATGGTGCGCAAACCCTGGGTCCTACTACAATATCCAAACATCTGTCAATCCCACATCCAAATCCTTTATGGCAACAAAAATCAGCCCTGCAGAGCTGTATGAAACTGTCACAAAGGTTGGGAAAACTGCCATAGATCAAAAGACTGTCCACCAACTCACCCCCTTTCACAACATTGTATCGTGTGTTCCTGGAACCCATTTGACCTCTGTTTTGATAGGAAGCTGGTGGTCCAAAATAGAGGTCATTCAGGTTCCAGGTTCCAGGTTGATGTTTGAAAGAACCTCGGAAGCGCTTGTTTCGCTTCATGTACACCATTGCCCCGAACATCTGCGGTGGGCTTTCTCCGCGCGATCGCATCATCGTGTAGACTGCTGATTAATACAACCGAGTTTAATTCAATCCAAATGAGTGGCATTTTTATTCAACGATCTACATTCCAGCTTCTTCAAAGGGACCTTTCGAAGGTTCCTAAGTGATCCTTAGGAGGCTTAAGTGACCTCAAACCAGGTTATCAAAAGGTCACTTTGAAGAACCAAGTCATAAAGCTTTGGGTCTATTGCCATGTAGATCTTAGTCACATGTGCAGACCTAGGCTGTGTGGCATTGACTCTGAGACAAAGTCACATCAAGCTGTTGATGATTGTTGATGTGTTGACACATGATTGATTTCCGTGCTTGTGCTTTCATGTGATCTCATTGTTGTTTTGTGTTTTCGCGTGTGTTTTCCACTGTGTTTTCATCACTGTCTGACGTCTTCTTCCACGTGGTCCCCTCGTCCGTCCCCTCTACTCTACACATCTTCCCGCGCCTTGCCATCGGTCAAGCGCCCATCCTCCATGACCTGCAGAAGAAGGTTCAAGACCTGCGACGCGCTCCAGCACGAGCCGCGGCGGCTCCCGCGGAGCCGGACCGTGGGACGTGTGGGACCGTGGAGCGGAGTTCGGAATGGGGTTTTCGTGGGGCTTCGGAGGAGTCCTTCATCCCACGATCTGATGGAATTCAGCAAGTCCTATCGCCTACGGTTGGATGGCTTTTGGGTGGTGAATGTAGGCCACCTATGTAGGCCACCATGGATCCTCTGGGAGGATTTCAAGAGGATTCCGGTTTCGCTCCACGTGGGTTCGATCCGCTTCGTGGCTTGCCGGATCTCCAGGACTCCGAGCCCCCGCGCAGCGCAGGCGAGCACCAGCGAGCACTGGCAGAGCACTGGCAGAGCTGGAAGAGGGGGGGGAAGGGAACACACGTCCAGGAAGCAGCCGTTGGGAAGGAAAACAGCTGCAAATCCAAGCAGCCCGAGCAGCAAATCCTGCAAAGAACAAAGGAGCCATGCAGAAGAAAGCCAAGTCGACACAGCAGGCAAAACCGCGCCAGGGCATGCGCTAGGGCATGAGGGACGCTGGATCACTTGCCAAGTGCACCTCTCACACACATGAGATATTGCGTACTGAAAGCAATCGCCACATGTCACACGCCCACCTAGGTATGAACGCCTAAGAGTACCAGGATTAACGCCTGAGAACAAGAGAAAACTACTCGTAGGTTGATCATACTACGCTGAGATCTGATGAGTCCAAGACCTCCATCATGGACTCGAAGCCCATTCCCTTTTTGGGCTCAGGAGGGGAAGGAACCAAAAACTCCACGCCCAGCTCCAGACCCTCAAAACCCACCCACCCTGGAATGCCCAAGAGGTTCCAAAACCCACCGCACCTCGGCGTGGGCCTTTTCGATCTCGTCGAGGACTACCACGCTATAGGGCCGACGCCTTCGAGGGCGACGTGACGCTATAGGGACCACGCGGAGGGGGAATGCGTCTGGAGTGTTGGGGGATGAGTTCCGATAAACATTTCCCATGACTATAGGGTTTGAATTATAGAACTGTGAACGATGAGGGTTAGGTTGCAGGCAGGCCTTTATCCAAACAGAAACCAGCTTCAATTGATGTTTCTCAAAAGAGAGATCATGTGGAGACTCCAAAAGGATCCAAAAGGGGTCACTTTGAAGGTCCTGGATGTTCTCATTTTTACACTCTTTTGCTCTATTGGGACATTCAAAGACCATCCTGGGTCGATCCTGGGTCAAGACCATCCTGGGACACTCTTTTGCTACAAAGGGGTCACTTTTGCCCTTTTTTCTGCTCTATTGGGATCCACAAGCTCAGAGTGGATCATCCGTGTCGGACCAAGGAGTCCCGTTTCTGCTTAAGATGATTGTTCTTCCTTTTCCACCCCACTCACCTTCTAAACGGAAGTAGTTTAAGCCCTACATAGATTTATAGTGGTCCCCAAATAGACAGTGGCACGGTTTCCTAAGACGATTTTTAGTGGGGATCTACGAACTCCTGTCTATTTGGGGGTCTATTATATATATATATATATACGTATTCAATGATTGTCCATGAGGTGTCTAAATCCCAGAACAAAAGACCCTAACCCAGACACTCCATGTATGGTATATTTACCTACATTGGGGTGGTTTTGGAGGTCAATGTAGGCATATATGGCAGTCCCATGGAGTGTCTGGGTAATGATAGGCCATCGAACTCGCCCCGCGTGTCGTGTGAAAGTCCCATAGCGTGGACTGGCTAGGTGCTCGGCACGCTGGACCACGCGGGTCAGACCATGTGCGGATTTGGCAGCTCCCAGGAACCTAAAAAAAACAAAACATATAACATCTCTTCACCAGGTTCGGGGTATACCCAGTTCGGGACAATCAATACATTACATCTATCAACACCAGGTCTTGAACCATTTCTTCCGTACAAAGCCGAGCCGAGCGGAGTCTGCGAACCAGGTCGGCCTCACTGCCTCGGTCAACTGCCCACTGCGGGGATCGTTGTAGCCCACCTGGCCGCCGCGCGGAAGCGTCCCGCGCGGTCCCGTTTCGGACTCGCGGGGGGGGAGGGACGGCGGAGGTGCGGAAGGTGGGAAGAAAAAACCCATGAGAAAAATAGGGCTCCCACCATGCCAGGGGATGATGATAGGGCATGCAGTTGAAGATAAAAAAACAAACACACAACAAACGGGGGGGCAACCTGAGACCGAAAGAGGGGCTTTGCCATTCCGATTCTGGGACCCGGAACCACTCCATGGATCGGTCGAGCCACTGCGCCTCTTTGATTCGCAGCTATGTATAGAGTTTCCCCAGTGATGCAAAGACAAAAAGAAAGCCCCACTGAGGTGCAAAGGACATGTCTTGTGCATGTCTTTTGGGTCACCTTTCGAATCGTTTTGGACTCCCAAGGTAGATACAGTACGATACACATTCATATATGGTTTACATCCCTAAATAGAAACCATTTCCAAGGGATCTACGAACTTCTATCTAATTTAGGGGACCACTATATATGTGCCCTCTTTTGGGGCCCTTCGGGTCCACACCCGCTCCAGACTCCACTCGTCCTCCCCGTCTCTGCCGAGCCACGTAGCCCGGCGGCGCGCCGATGAGGCGCGACACGCTGTGGGGTTCCGAGAATTCGCTCATGTCCAGGCGGACCATGGCCTGTAGGACGAAGTGAATGGGGGATGAGAGAGACTGGGAGAGAGTGACGACTGGTCGTGCTATAAGGGTCCAGTGACCCTCCGTTGCTCGGATGGTCGGAGGTGAGTAAGGTGAGGCCTCGTACTTCCTGAGAATGGTCGTTGCCTAGGGCCTGAAACAGGACCTCCGAGCAACCGATGGTCCTGGACCCTTAGGGTAAGTGATTGGCCACCACCTGGATGGCTGGAGATTGACGGAGATTGACGACGTCCGACCCGCCAAGGACTCCTTCCTGACCGAAACTTGAGAAGGTGAGGAAAGGTCAGGGGAAGGTCAGGAGGTCACAGGTCCTGATAGGCAAGTGACCTGGAGATTCTCCTGAAGACATCTGAAGACATAAAGAAGTGCTTGGGACTGACTGGGGAAATTCGGGACAGTTCCAAGTGTTTGTTGGGGTGGAAGTGGGTGTTGAGGCACATCTTCTCATCAGATGTTTCAGAATGTTTCAGATGGGTGACTTGCCACCTGTAAATCAGATCTTGGATTTTAGTGGCAGGTCGATGGTGAGGTGCCGCAAATTGAGTGGAATGACCAACTAGTCGTCTCCACACGAACAAAGCCGCGGAAGAGCGGCGGCCCAGCGTGCCGGCCTTGGTATCCACGTAGTACTCCTCTGCCAAAACACGACAGAGCTGTGTTTTTCCCACACCTGGCGCAAAATCTCTTTCAGAATCCCTCACGATTGACTGGAGTGGATGGTGAACTCGGAGTCTGAAGTGGCCTTTGGTTTTGCCAAATGTGGCTCGATTTGGCTGGCCTCATTTCGGTCCTAATTTGATCTGTTTCTGCTCCATCGCGAGGAGTCTTCATCGAGCAAACCATGTTCACACGGAAAAACACTCTCGGATGCTCTCAAAAAAGCTCTGACCAAGTTCCCAGCGCTTCAGCGCGCGGAATAGACCGCGCGTAGACCCAACTACCAGGCCAAGACCAGTTCCTTGCATAGCATACAACTGACCCCCGCTGAGCCGTTTTGAGACTATCAAAAGGTTAATCAACCAAACGTTCGACCTGCACTTGTCGGAAAGTGAGGAACTTGTATAATCCCCAAAGAGGTGTTGAAGGTATACAATATTGGGTCTATCCTATTACCTGTAACAGTGGATGATGATGATGATGATGATGATGATGATGATGCTTAGTAGAGGCCTTGTCCAAAAATAGTGACTTGCCTGTTTACGGGTCCTGTTACAGGTAAGAACGGACAGACCCTAAATATAGTTTGGTCGACCACCAATACTATACCTGACCACAAGTTTGGTGTTCCTTTTTCCACATCTCGTCCAAAGGTTGCGTACAGGTCGCAAGCATGTGAGGAGCCTCGCTCAAAAGAATTCTACCTGGCCAGTTGCTTTGAACTGTACAAGCCTCCAGACAGTTCCAGACGCTTTGTACATGTTTGTACCATCCCAGGAATTCCAGGGAATTTCGAACTGACCTGGAGGTTTTGCATTGGATGGTCAGGCTTTTCACACTGCTTGCAATTACTCTGCTCAGTACCGGCGATCCAGCCAAGGATCGGACTGGTAGTGCTTGGGAGGGGGAACGCCGAAGACGTAAAAGACATTCGCCTGCTCCTGTCTGGGGTGAATGGGCACCGGTCCCAACGTCTTTGGAAAAAACTCACAGCTACTTACTAACACCCTTTGCATGTAGAGAGCTGTAGAAAGTGAATTCGTTCACGAGAATGTTTGGAAGTCATTGCTCTGCTCTGATCTACAATTGGGGATCACCGGGATCACCCCTCACCCCCCGAAAAGGTCAGGTCATGTAGGTCATGTCAAGTCAAGTCGAGCAGGATACTTTTCGCAGGTCCTGCAGCTCATGCTGCATGATGGAATAGCACGGCACCCCACAGAAGTCTCCGATGCTGGTGTCTAAGACTGGAAGACCGGCCGCTCGCGGAGCAGTGCGAAGTGTCTCCGGTTCGTCTGGAATGGACTGATTGCACCAGCGACAATTCCGGGTGAGCACCAGAGTGAGTTCCACCACACCGCGTTGGTTGCGAAGGTTGCTGAGCTTCTCGAACATGTCAGGCTCTTTATTGCGATGGATCAACTTCATCTCCTGACCGAACGGATCCCACCCTCACCCGTGCGACGTTCCTTCAGAACCCCCTGCCGTTTGGCGCGTCACGAGTCCGAGTCAGATTGTACGAGAGGAGCTGACTGCAGGGCACCTCCACCTTGCAGCTTGACCCAACTGCATGGTGCCCTGTGCTGCACATCTAAGATATAAGCCGTGTCTTTCTTAACAAGGGTTCGACTCCGCTAGCCTGTACCAGGCTTCACCCAGAACTCTTGGGCTCCATTTCCCTGTGGATTCCTCTGAGATGGAAGGTGGGGGGAAACACCATCTGTGGTGGGATTTGCGGCAAGTCTGAGGGGTTCACCTCCAAGGGCTCAGCGCGATCCAACCACAAAGGTGGGTATCAGTTGAAAAAGAATGAAAAAGATATTATTGAATGATCAATTAATACCTGGAAACCCAAACAACCAGAAACAATTGGTTGTTCCAATATGGCAATTGAATTGATCAATTAAAAACTTTTTTTCCCACACTCTTTTGTTTGGGAACATACATGTTTTCCGTCGGGTCAAAACAATATCGATCGGACATTTTTTTGTCTTTTTTATATCGCCCGAGGCACATGAAACTTCCGTGCCAACTTGAGACTCAGCCTCTGCTTCACGTCTCCAAAAATGGCGTAGCGGTCTATTGCAAAATGGTATCGGCTGTTCTTTCCATTCAACATGGTCGTGACCTTCACCTCTACGACGCCGGCGTCAAGTCCATTGAAGTCCTCCCATTGTGCCATGTGGTCCGACCCTTCGAAGGTCTTCTTCGAAGAAATCCCCCACCGCTTTCTCCTGTTCAATGGGTTTTGTTCACCTTGAGCCAATGAACAGAGTGAAAACCATTGAAAACGATTGAAAACGATTCAAAACACGGAATTCCCGATCAAACAGTTGTTCTTTTGCCCGTCTTACAAAGCACTTCCACATTCCTCTGTTTGGTTTATGCTTGCTAATTTCTTGGAAGTCGTCCATACCCAGAACACGCAAGTCACCCACACACACACACATCGTTCATGTACTTTTCAGCGTTCAGGTTTACCCATCGTTTTTTGAGGTGACTGTCAGTGGGTGGCACCATAAGCTGTCCTGCAAGGGATTGAATTGCTCAACGCGCAATTAAAAGCATAGGTGAGAAGCCAAGTTCTGAGCCCTTTGGTGAGCTTTGGTGAGCAACAAACATCGTATCCGTGAACAAACCCACCCGAACCATCAGGAGGCCGAATCGAAGGTTACAGGTCGTGTAATCACTGGCTGACCACTTTAAATAAGTCCGGTATGTATTGGATTATGCTGAGATAAGCTCGATATGTACGTTGAAAAGCTGGATGAACACAGATCATCTGTTGTTTTGTTCGAAGTAAAATCTTCTTGCCTATACCCTGGGCGTCAAAGAGCATCAAAAGAATGGTCTTTCATGTACCAGATATCGAAAAATAGATCTTTTGACTTCCATGGGATCTTTTGTTGTGTCTATCCCACTACCAGTAACAGTGGATGATGATGATGATGATGATGATGATGATGATGATGATGATGATGATGGTTCAGTTGCAGGCCTTTCTCTCAAATAGTGAAAGTTGATGAAATTGGATTGCTGTTTCTGACTTTTGGTTTACCGGTAATAGGACAGGGCCCAAGGTAAAGAATATAGCTAAACTCTTCCAAGAAACCACCAAACCACTCGGTCGGCACCTTGCACCCCCAAATCTATCCGCTTTGAGGGCCCTGCGGCCCTTCCCTGCCCGCGCCTGAAGGTCCTGCAAAGAAGAAGGTGGCCGTGGGCCGCTGCTGACCTGGACAGAGGTGGAAGAAAACCAAGGAACCTCCATGACGAACGACATGGGCATCGGAGTCCAGCCTTTAGGAGGGCGTGTATTAGAAAAAGAACATATCCGGTGGAATCCAGTGACTCAGTGTCAATATGGAGCCAGATTCCAAACACACCTACTATTCCCCAAAACACGTCCCAGCCTTGCCAAACACCACACGACCAAAAGCAAAAAAATAACAGATCAAACCCTCCTTGAAAACCCTCTCTCCGAGGGGTCAAGAATTTATAACCCGCCAATCCATGTACCCTAGAAGTCCAAAGACTATACTTTTCTTATTCAAGAACAAGGAAATCCCTTTCAGGCCCTCTAGTCTAGTCAGGCCTTTTTTTATAGTCTTTGACTCCTGGGTGTACGGAATATTGACCTACGTATATTGACCCATAAAACATCTTAAAACCGCCCACATCTGACATGCATGCAGCACACATCGCACACATCTGTGTTTTTCTTGCCAGTCCCATGGATTGTATTGTTGGGGATCTGGACTCTGCAGGACCGGCGTGCACCGATTCTTACGCGTGCAGGACCGGCGTCCGAAGACGAGGCAACAGCTGTTGCGTCGCTCCGCTCGAGCAGACGCCAGTGGTGAAGAAAGGTGCAGAGGACGATCGGCGGTGGACAATCTCATGACGACCAACATCTCCAAACCACTGCCTCTAGAATAACCATGGACTGTTTTTATGTGTATTTTTCTTTGTTTTCTTTTTGAAAAGAGTCCCAGGACCATTGGAAGATGGCAACCTTGGCTCCCACGATTTGGAGGTACCTGGCCCCCGGATCATAGAAAGCGCCAGGAGCCTATAGACAATTTTTTTAAGAGCATGCTGGAACCAATTTACCATACACCACCATACACTCCCCCCAAAAAGATCCTAACAAAAAAAGGAACATGATGGACTTTCTGATGATCAAGATGGACTTTCTAAAAATAAATTCCTTGTCATCTCTGCATCCATCTCCATCTGATCTCTTCCCACACCGAACACCTCCGGAGCGCGCCTGCCAGACCGCTGCGCGCGCGGCGTACCGCGCGCGCCAAGGCGCTCACGGCTTCGTCTTGGCCTCGGAGCGTTCACGGCTCGGGCGCGGGAAAAAGAAGGTTGGAGTAGTGTTCTGCGAACCTCAGGTCGATGAACAAAACCGTCGTTTTTTGGTCGTTGTTCAAGCATATTAGTTGGTTCCAATAAAGAATTTGGTGCTTAAGTTCTTTACATGATAGATTGTAGCGCCAGACTCTAAAGCATAGTTCAGCCATTCCCACTTACAGCTTGGGCACCTCAAGCCTGGCAGATTCCTCCGGTCGCGTCGTCTCGGTCGAGTGCCGGGTCCGCGGACCGACGATGCGCTTGGAGAGGATCTCTTCCAAGTGCATCAGCCGCTCGGATTCGCCCTGCTCGATGCGGTCCACGGGCACGCCCGACCTGGGTGAGCGGAGATCCGAAGAGGGGAAGGCTAGCTTCTTGTTACGTAGACTAGTAGACTAGTAGACTAGTAGACTAGTAGAGTAGTAGAGTAGTAGTAGTAGTAGTAGTAGTAGTAGTAGTAGTAGTAGTAGTAGTAGTAGTAGTAGTAGTAGTAGTAGTAG